CCCCCGTGCTGTCCCCGCGGTTCCTTTTCCACGCGGGTTTTTCTCGATGTATCTGGTGGGATTTTTTGTTTGTTGGTTTTGTTTTGTTGTTGTTCTGTTTTACTCTCCCCCTTCCTTCCTTCCTTCCTTCCTTCCTCTCCCCTTAATTAAACCAAAAATAACCCCAAATGTTTAAAATCGCTGCGCGGAGACGAGGTGGAGGTGGAGGTGGGAGGGGGGGACACACTAAGCGAGCAGATGGGAGGAATAAGCCGCTGTGGCACCGTCAGTAAAACGGCCATGGAGGCGGTGAAAAATGAAACTAAAAAACAACTGTTTTCTATTTACAAATTTAAATAAACAGAACAGCCTTCCCCGCGGTGTTTGTCTAAGTGCAGCAGCGTTGCTGCTGTGTAGGTCATGAAAAGGTTGGTGCATAGTTTAAAACTTCCCATTCTGTTAATTTCTTAAAGAACAGTCGTTCATAGTCTGAGCACAAAAGCTCATGATTTAATGAGGAACAGAAACAAAATCTCTGATTGTTGGTGTTTCAAACTTCATTGGAGTCCTCTGGCAACCACAAGTTGATCCTCTGCAGCTTCAATACCCTTTAGCCCTCCATATAAGAGTACATGCTGAATAGAGGACAATGCCTGGTTGTTATGTTTATTTACCCTTACTACAAGCTGGGTTAACCTCTTCAAAACAGCTTTACTAAGCCCGTTAACCACACGGCCCACATGACCTGTAGCCGTATCCCTAATGTGATGTAAATCTGACTCGAGACCATATGCACAAGTTCTGCTGCATTGTGTCTCCAAAAAACTACAAGTTTATTGCCGCCCAACCCTTCCCCGGGCTGGACGTTTCCAGGAGGAAACGCTCTGAATGGGGAATGCTTAAAAAAAAGAAGAAAGTCAAGAGTCCTGCATTGTGAGAGCAGTATTTTTAATGGCTGTTGTACATTTACAGAAGGGGGAGGGGGGGGTAGATGCGAAGCCTGCACAGGGTAATGATTTTCACCACGATTATTTCGACCAGTGAGTGATTATTTGAGGCTTTGCCCTTTATCATAGAATCATAGAATCTTAGGGGTTGGAAGGGACCTCGAAAGATCATCTAGTCCAACCCCCCTGCCAGAGCAGGGTCACCCAGAGCACATCACACAGGAACGTGTCCAGGTGGGCAGGAGTTCTGCACCAGGGCAGGAAGAAGCGTAGATACAAATAGAAGCGACTGACTCAGTTTCCATCTGCTCTTCCAACCAACAGAGCTCACGGCTTATGCTTTGCCTTCCTCCTCCCGTGAAGTCATGATCCTGCCTTTGCCGTGGCTCCCGTGATGTCACGGAGCTGGTGACGTGACTGGGTCCGCGGGCCCTGCGGGAGGGAGCAGTGGTTCCAGTCGGGAACACTTTTACTAATTAGCCACCCTGGCAAGCAAACTATGACAGGTCTGCAAAATGGAAACGAATTTCTGCTTAAGCTTGATGTCTTTAATTTTATTATTATTTTTTCCCCCCCTTTCTCCCCCCCCCAACCCAAGTATTATAGTCATCTTTTAAAACAGCTCCTGGGCCCCCATGGTGAGAGCTTCATTTACCAGCTCATTTTTCCTTGATGGCTGTGGCAAGCGTAACAATGTTCTGTGCCTGCTTCAGTAATGGCATGTCGATCATGCTCCCCTGGAAAGTAAACGCTCCCTGGAAAAGAGAGAATATAAACTTCCTGAGCGGACCTCTGGAAATTGTAGTTGGCTCATCTTGTTCTTTACAATCACATCCACTCGCCAAGAAACAGCAGCTCCCACAGGAATCCTGAATGAGTTTGAGGAGGCAAAGTAAGCGAGACGGGGGCAAACGCATTCAAAGAACTGCAGTGGGTGCTCCAGAAAGGAGGCAAAAATAGAGAAGCCCTGTGTGCAGCCTGCCTGTTTCAGCCTCTCCAGCTGGCAAACACGGAGGGCCAAGAGTAGTGAGGCTGTGTATGGCGGGCCGGGGGGGCTGGCAGTCACTGTGCTGGGGGGGGGCAGCTCTGCTCCCCACATCCAGCATCCCCCTCCAGTGCCAGGGCTGGCCCAAACTGTGGCTGGAGGGCAGAGCCAGAAGTGTTGTCTTCATCAGGAAACAGTGGTAGGCATTTCTGGGGAGTGGAAGGAGGTTTCCCTGACTTGGGTGTGTGTGGAGGTTGTGCTCTTGCACCTCTCCATCAGGCCTGTGGTGCTGAAGATAGGCTGGGCCTGTGCTTGGAGGCAGGGGCTGGGCTGCAAGATGAAAAAGCAAGTGGCTGGTGTGGTAATATTGCCCAAATCTGCTTTGGAGCCCACCTGAGCACTGCAAACAGGGAATTTCCCTGAGCAGATGCAGAACTAGCCAATGTGCCTCAGTGGTGGCGATCCAAGATCCAGGGCAGGTTTCAGAAGTCACTTTGTATTTCTGGGGATTTTGTGTTGGTACCAATAGTGGCAAGTTTAACATAATTAACTATGAATCATGGTTAAATCTTAAACAGAAGACACGTGTCAAAATAGGGCCAAACCTGACTTGTTTCTCTGGATGCTTTAATCCACATATGTGTTGCTGAGGTAGGATTTTGAAGATAAAACACTTTACACCAAGACTTGCCAAAGCTCAGCAGACAGAGAAAAAAATGAAAAAATCTTATTTGTAATTCTGACAGTACTTTGACTGAAAAACACAAAGATGCAGGCCCTTCCCTGAAGGATTCAGAATGGAAGGCCTGGCCCTGGTGTTACGTGAGGCATCTCTGCGAAGCTCTGCACACCCTTTTAATGTCCTGCTGCAATCGATACGGGATCACAGGCTGGCCTGAGGTTTGAGAGTGGCATGTGTGGCTGTGCATGCCCAGGGAGAGAGGTGCAGAGCAGAGCAGAACAGGCTGTTTATTGCTTTCTGCTTTTCATTTAAGGCTTGGCAATCACTAGATAGAGGACTAATATAAGTAAAGTGAAAATATAACCCATTCACAAAAATGTTTGGGGAATGTGTTGCTCCAGTGAAGTATCTAGCTTGACTGAAGCAGTGTTGGACACTAAATTGCATTCTAGATCAGTTAAGACAAAAATCCACCTTAAATAGTAACCTAATATGAATCAATATTGTTCCATGTGAGAACAGACTGTATTAAGGCCATTAAACCCCTCACAGCTAAAACTATTATTTTATTCTAAATAGGATTTCCCACTATAGCTTGCAGTATTTTAGGTGGGTTTGGAGAATAATGGAATGGAGAGATACTCAGTGGTAGGTGCTTCAAATAAAATTTCTCGTTTACAGAGCAACCAATCAACCCTACATTACCCCAACAACAACAATATTATTATTACCAGTATCATTATTAATTATGATGCACCACTTTTCATCTTAGCTACATCTCAGCTATTTTAATTTACACTCTTACACCTTTACAGAAAAAACGCAGCCTCGAACGATTCCATTTATTAACTTGTGAAATAAAGGGAACTAAGTAAACATTTTATGAAATGGTACTTTAGAATAATTCAGGTCTACACAGTGATCTCAAACTGTAATATATATTTTTTTCACTGGAAGAAAAACATGTTTTAATTGTGCCTAACCTTCTGCAGGCATTCAGTCAAATGATAGCTCTTGCTTCAAAGATAAAAGTGATAAGTAGAGATATGTTAAGGTCTGGGATCATCCTTCCTAGTTCTGTGAAATGGCTGACTTAGGAGCACAGTGATCCTAAGTACCTGCAATAGTTTGCAGGAAGGGATGGGCACCTAGCAATGCCAATTCTGATCTCTGGTGGTCCAGAATGACAACAGGGAGGGTCTTCTCCCTCTCACTGACTGTACACAAGATGTTCTGAAGCCAGGTCCCTCTGCAGGTGCCCAAGTTGGAGTGTGATCAATCTCAGTCTGAATGTCTTTTTTGAAAGTGTGAGTTAATTCAACAGCTTGCCTGTCCTCTCTTCTTTAAAACAACATGTTTAGATAGGAAACCAGGGTAATAGTGTGTGTGTGGACACACGAACACCGAACCACTTGAGGTCTGCCGTACGTTCTCTTCTTGTCAGCATGCAGCTGTAGTTTGGGTTGCTAGGAATTTGAATTCTTGAAGGAAAAAAATGCTTTTTCTTTCCAACAGCAAAGAGTAACATGAAGAAGTTGGCTTCTCTGCCTGCTCACTCTGAGGCTTATTTTCTCCCTGCTAATTTGCAGCGTTGAGCTAAAGTCCAGAAAAAGAAACCGATTTTAATGCCATTCAATATACTCCATTCACTGCCTCTCTTTCCACCCACAGGTTTCAACAGATAGGAAATACCAGTAATTACAGCTTTGTCCCCATGCTCTCTTTTCCAATTCTGCTAGATGAAATTTGCCTTTAGCATTCTTTTGATTTTCTCTCTCATGAATATAAAGAAAACAAGACACTCTATAAACACCATTTGCTTTGATAGTGTTAATCTGGGGATTAATTTAGTCATAGATCTAAATTTTCTTTTGGGCTAATTTTCTCAATAATCTCAAGCTTCCAGCCTGTACTTAGACTTCCAGTAGTTCAACTGTGGGACCAAAGGTCTGTTCTTAAGGCAGCTGGCAGGGTGAATGGGAGGTGGGTGTGTGGTGTGAAGCTGGGGTTTGCATCCATTGCACTTGGTGGCTGTGGCTCTTGCTCACCATGGAACCATATGAATCATTCATTGGAAGCCTTTTCAGAAAGCTGCAAAAGGATCCTGCCATCAGGTGAGCCAGACATGCCAGACCTGCCCTGGGAAGTGACAGGCCCCCCAGGTAAAGGCTGATGGAGGAGTGGGGAGAAGAAGCAGCTGAGGGGCAGAGCCACAGCTGGTGGGTACAGCCTTTGGGTGACAATGCATGGTGCAAGTAACTCGGCTGGGTTGAGACGTGGGGGAAATGGAGGACAACTGTGGCTCTGTGGGCCAGAGATGCTGTCTCTCTGCTCAGCAACGCCTGTCCTTGCCTAGTGCTGTCTTCCCTGCAGCAACACAGCAAATGTGCTGAGGGCGAAGCCCGGTGAGGAACAGGGTGGCTTTGGCGCTCACCCACGCACAGGGTCTGCGGGCTGTGCCAGTGCTTGGGCTGGCCTCAGCTGCACAGCTGTGAAGGCAGCACAGCACTGCAGAGGGGTGTGTGTTTGCACAACCTTTGGCTTCCCTCAGCCTGATGGTTGTGTGTCCCTGTCAGGGAGGACATAAGGAAGGAAGGTGAACAGGCAACCCATTTGGATCATCATGCAGACTAGCTAAGTGTCCTTCCCAGTGATTGACAAGTGAGGAAAGACTCAAAGGTGTTTCCTTCTGGATAGGTCTGTGAGAGCAGAGCAACAGAAAGGTGGCAGACCCAGCCAGCTCCTCTTCTCTCTGCCTAGCCATTGGAGCTGCCCACAGAGCCCACCAAACTGTCACTTGCCCATCTCCACCCCTTGTAGCAGGCCACCTTCTCCAAGCTGAATGATGCAGGACCAGGACTGTGCAATTTGCTGCATCCCTCAGGAACCACACAGTACTTGAATGCAATAAATCCACAATGACATTTAATGCTCTGTTAAAACACTAGTAACATCTTTAAAAACATAACAGCTACTTATGCAAGATGCCAGCCATGCTGAGTTAAGGCCTTAACAGCTCTGCTTTGAATTTCAATATGCCCTAAAGTGCTTTGAGAATGGAAGGGAAAGGGCTTTTGGTATATACAGAAAATAGCTGGAAGGGAATGAACATTATAGAAAGTTGCTAGGTTGTTTTAATTAATTAATTTATGTATTTAAATTCCAAAAAGGAACATTAAAAAATTATAATATTGGAAAAAAGAGAAATGAGCATGGTCAGCCCCAAGTGATACAAAGATTCAGCCTGCAGGCAAGGGAAGTGATAAGGCAGAGTTGACAAAGAACAGTAATTTTCACAGGTCAGGAGCTGAATAAAAAAAAAGAAAACAACAACAAATGAGGCAACTCAAGTTATGCATTAGGAATACCTAATGCAGTAAGTTTCCAGGTGACTGTGGAGAGACCAAAGAGATTTAGAACCAAACTTTGTAAGACATCAATTTGGCAAAGCTTTTGCTCGCACCTTATGAACCTCCCTTTGGATAAACGTAGCTGCCTCCAAACCTAACTCAGATCTAACAAAGTTCAACATATAATTGAGGGCTTTCTGACAACTTATAAGAAAATTCTAGTCATGTGTTGCCACATCTTGGACACAGCTCTTGCCCTATCTTTATGTCATCCTTAAGTTCTGCTTTACCTGTAAGAAATTACATGTATCAAGTAGAAAACAGAGTTTCAGTGTTGGTCTGTTACTTGCCATGGCCAGAAGATGAACACATTAATGCAGTGGTTCCTGGAACATGAAAACCTCCTCTTATTGTGTGTCCCATATATGGCAGCATCTAGGAATGTTTGCTCTGTGAAACTTTTGGGAGTAGTTAAGAGTTTGGTAGATCTCTATGACCATCTCATAAACAGAGTATATATATATATATATTATTTTGTGTGTGTATCTATATATATTTATAATTATTTTTTTTTTTTTGTGGAAAGAACCATTTTATCTTTCTAGAAGGTAAACAGAGGAGATTCAGAGTCAATGATTTCTGTATCAGCTGGGGATCAATGTGTTCCGGGGGAAGGAGAAGAGGGGAAGAAATGGCTCAGCCAGCTCTCTTGGTAGAATTTATCATAGGTGGTAGAAT